TTCCAAGTTGGCGTCCAACAATAATTCGCTTGTACTAGCATCTAGTGAGATTGTAACTGATGCTTATATGTCCTTTGATTTCCCCTTCTTATGTTTATATGCATGTAATCGATCACTATTTGATTTCCTCTTGTTGGATATATTCACAGTAGTTATACAACAACCCACGATAAGAACAAGATTATCATTAATTTTAAATTTAATTAGTTTTGTGTCTAAAAACAACAGAAATAATTCATTTGTACTTATTTGAATTCGCAATTCGTTAAAATGAGTACCTTTTTGCGTGTTCCCTTAAAAAAATAAGATAACAATTATGTTCTCTTGTCACAACGCTGTTGACAACGCACATAAAACCTTCAAACGGCACATTATCCAAATGTAAGCCTGCCGCACACAGCCAGTGTTCCTTAGCACCAACGAACTGACCACTGCATGAATGAACTACACTTTACCGCTCAAAGACCGAAAAGAACTGTCTCCCATAGTTTTCAGTTTATCCCTGTCTGCGGCAATATGACGGAACTCGAGTAGAGAGGCTGTCCATAAACACTGTGAGCATGTATCTCGTTCATGACAAATGCGGCGATGCTCTTCCCATACAACGGAAACCATTCATATTATTTCTCTTTGTAGCATGTCGTCTCATGCTAAATAACAATGCACAACTTGTTGCAAATAAAATAATATTGGGGGGGGGGGATCAATTGCTTTTCATCAACCTGTGTAATTTTTCAAACGGCTAGGGTATACGGCGTCTGTTCGAGAAAGCAGAAGGCATATCCTAATCATCTGAAGCTGAGAAATTCGGCATATACCACTGGACAACCTCCCCATTTTATTCTGATCGGTATTGGCCCATGTAACTGCTGATTTACATTAAACCGAAAACTAACTTCATTATATTTCGCAACGAGAAGTTCTCAGAAGAACACAGATCACCTACGTCCGTTAAAATCCTTCCATTTAATATAAATTACAGACCTAAATCAGTAACAATACAGCTTAGCAACTGACATTTTTCTATGACCTTCTCCTAATGAAAATTTTCAGACATGCTCTCAGAATTTAACACACTCATCATAAGTCTGCATAACGAATTAATATGCACAGCTAGAATCAGTTATCAGTTATACTATCAAACTTGGATCTAAATACACGTTTCAGAAGGTAGCTGATTTGTCGTTTTCACATTCTACACGAGCAGCGCTCTGATGGAAGTCAGGTCAGCACGTTTCTGGAAAAATTAAAGGTTAGGGTCCAATTTTAAACGACTAATGTCGTTTCTATCTTAGGCGTTGGCACGTTTATATTCGTAATGCTGACGGGAGAGGAATACAAGCACAAAGACTGGATATGACGTAGGTCCTAAAGGCCTTCACCAAGTTTCATGAAAATCCTGTTCTAAAGACATTACGGGAAACAGAAACAGATGGAAGCACGGACACATGGACATGACGTCTTCCTCTCTTAAAGTAAGGAAATTGGATATAATGATGTATACGACTTGACAACAGACTTTCGTCTGCAAGCAATAAACGCAATTTCAAATGAGATTACAGTCCTGCACTTGTGCTACAATGATGACACGGCACGTCGGAAAGAACAAATCCTTCCGGTGTGAAACTTAAGGCATTCAGAATTACCCGAATTTTGCATGAACGTGATTTCCTATTATCTTTTGATTTTATCTATTTTATGAAGACTAAATAATGAAATAATTTATTTTAGTCAAAAGTTTAGACTTGTAAATGACTAAATGAATGGTATTAAAATCAATTAAATTTAGTATTCTTCGTTGCATTTTGAAGTCGATTAAACCGAAGGAGTCAAACAACGGATCGCTTCTGGGAATGCATGTATAGCGTTAATTGGGAATACATAACATAACGGGAAATGTTCTTATATCATTCAATTAGTAAAAAAAAGTAAAAAGTAAAGCTATCCCTGTAACAGGCCGTGAAGGCCCATAGGGCTGTGAGACGTTGAGGGTTCCACATTATCTAGACCAGGGGTCTCCAAACTTTCCGAACCGCGGGCCACATTAGGTAATTCAGCACTTCCAACGGGCCGGATAAAAGGAGAAATTAATAACTCTAGGTATATGAGTTTTATTGAAACCACAGAATTTCATAAACTAAATACAAAGTACGTGGGAATAAATTATCGTATATTAATGACAACAGACAGTAGCAGCAAATGCTCATATTTTCATTACAAATTATAATAAAACAATTAATGTGAATGATGGATCTATTTTTGCATTCTTAAAATCTTATTAAATTGAGGTTCAAATTTTGAAACACTAATCACAAGTAGCGACTTTAAATGTTCATCGGATAAATTTGCCCTGTATTTCGACATGATGTACTTCATCTGGGAAAAAGTTTGTTCACACAGACATGTCGTCCCAAAAAAAGGAGATAAATTTACAAGCAAATTTCTTTAAATTTGGAAATTGTTCAGAGTTCAGAAATTTATAAAATTCGATCAAATTTCCTTCCCTGTATTTGTCTTTAATATGATAATTTTCCTGAAGTTCAATAATTTCCATTTGAATTTGACTTGGGACATCTGCAGCATCACAGTCAAACGGATTTTGAAGCAATCCAACTTCCTGAGCACTGGAATCCAAATCAGCAAATCGCTTCCGAAATTGTTCTTTCAAATCTAAAACTGTGAATAATATTAATATTAACATAATATGGAATATCAATATATTTTAAACACAATCTTAATTAATGAATTTGAAATCTATGAACAAGTATTTTCTTTACCAGTACTCATTGGAAAATTAGTTCAATTGGCGCATTTCTGCACAATTCTCTCGCGGGTCGGATAAAATCACATCGCGGGTCGCATGTGGCCCGCGGGCCGTACTTTGGAGACCCTTGATCTAGACAATTGGCTCAAAGATGGCGGTAAGGTTGTCAGCCTTACGCGCCGGCCGCGCTTTACTCCCGAGGAAAATTATTTATTTAATTCCTGGTACTCATTTCTGTTAGGGGCTGAAGATAATAAAAATATCTGGAGCACTGCAAATGCAGTAAATTATCTCAAACATTTTCTCATAGTCTATTCTTAATTACATTTTCACCTAAACGTCTCAAGGCTGAAGGCCTATTTGAGATTTTAACATGATGTGTTTAATCGAATTCAACGTCGTTCACCTTCTTGTGATCGAATTTTGGTTTCGTCATACATTTACTCTCTCTCCCTGAACACTCAAGTCACCTCACAGAGACGGGACGCGTTCCTTCTTTTGTCTATTACAATTTGATAAGTCTGACTGCACGTCTTCTTGTCAAAGGAGTCTGTTTTAAAGGATTATCGCTCCCTAGTTTTGCACTAAAATCCTACAAAACTGCCAAGTGATGAGCAGAGAATTAATGGAATGCACGCTCTAGTTCCTCGTAAAAATTCTCATTTCTTTCTTTAGTCGGGCCATGCATATTCAGAGGCATAGCATGCTAATGCGTACTTAATATTACATGCCGGTACATCATATTATTGAATCTGTCCTTATACTGTTGATCTGATTCCTTTATGTACGTAAAAGGCCTAGCAGGTAAGTAGCATTCCCTCTTCCATAATAAATGTACAAAATCGTCTGCTAATTCAATGCCACCCTTGTCCCTTCTCACCTCCTGTACTCTTTATAACCATCTTTGCTAGTATGTCTATCTTACTGCACTGATATTGCTGAATCTGACCTATCGAGACTCCATCAACGTCGGCAGCAGCGGCATTTAGAACTCACGGAACTGGGCCACTTGTTGATCCATTTGGGCCTCATTCGTCCAACGGTCAATGAGACTCCGGAGTTTTTCAAACTCCAAAAGAGCCATGTTCAGTCTGATGTTGGGAAAATGAAATAATCCGCTGCTGTAACACTAACACTGCTCTTAAAATGTCTGCAACTTATATCTTTCAACAAGTTGACGAACACACGAAACAAATGCTGGTGGGCGCAAATTCTACAGATATGAGATGATGTAAGTTAGTTTAACATTTGAAAACTGAGCATTCCGTTCTTGCCACCTTCACAAATACAGTTATCACATAGGCTTTATACGTGCTCTTTTCCGATTTAGCCCCCTGGCGGTAATACTAATGCAGCTGGTATTAAAAGTTCAAAATTATGAATTAAAACTGTGTTGAGTTGTAATGTTACCTACAGCAGTCTCTTATGGTTATTTGTGAAGATGTGAAACACGCACTCACCCGGTCGTGTCGTCCCGTCCTGCTCTCCGGCGTAAGACTGGTGACTGTTTCACCCTTCTCACACAAGAGAGCAGGCCTTTCCTCACAGAGTAAACAGATTGCGGGTTGTTGCAAATTGTACATACTACTAATCATTTGAAACACATTCTATCGTAAAACTAAATTACGTATATAAATAGTCAACCAACCTACTTGGCAACCATTAAACGACCTGGAACAGAAAAATGTTATATCCTGAATTACCGCAATAAAGGCTTTAAGTTGCAGTCCTGCTGGTCAAAAAGTACTCTTAACACGGCGCCCTAGCGTATAAAAGCCGGTGCTTTTAATTTCAGGTGCCCCGAACTACATTTTCGACATAATTCGAGCATAACTTAAAAAATTCTCAACGTCACGAGTAACCCACTCCTCAACCCATGGTGTTTCGTATACCAGGGTAGGTTTGTCGGGATGTCAATTTGTCTCATAGTTGAATTGGTTTGATAACCGAATAAATTATATACATTTTTGCGTTCTTTAATTTCTGTAGCCAAGGGCAATAGGTGGGAATGGAGAAACTTTGTGTATTACACAGCTCGCTTGCTAAGGGTAAATCACAAAGAAGTAGGCTGTATAATGTGGCAACCACAGGATTTTTTTTTGGGGGGGGGGGAGCCTAACAATTTGCCTTACAAACTTACGTTTAGGCCGCTTAAGACCATTTTACTGGTCAGCATAAAAAATAATAGTTCTAAATGTTTTAAATTTTTATTACTTATACTCGTATTTTGTACATTTCCTTTTTATCTTAAATTTTTATTTTCTTTCCCAAAATCCCAGGGTGAGGGAACAGATGCCTGGTTCCCCTCTCTTGCTACCGTGCTGTTGCCTATGCTGAATCAGCACGCAAAGTTGTGGCTGGAAAACCTGCAGACAGAACAACACTTCGAAGACTATATAATGTAAGGGATGATTTTCGTAAATGTATCAAGGTGTTTTTCTCGGCAGCTTGCCCCTCACATTCGTGTCTACTCTCAGTTCTTGACTGCCATATGCTCCTGGTTTGTGTGTGCTTCCTCCACAGCATGTGGTGTTGTCTTTACTGGTATCTTACAGATTTAAACCAGGTTGCATTGATTCAGGATTATGTCCAATGGCAGACTTCTGTGAACGAACAGATTGATGTACTTTCCAGGCCTATAACAACAAGGAATATTTCGACCAGCCAGATAACTACCAACTGTTTGTGAAAGACTTTGTACTAACGAGTTATTAGTCATGTCATTATATCTCACTGCACTATTTTGCAGCCTCTTATCAATGATTACCAGTGATAATGAAAACAAGGTTACTGCCCACAGGTGAGAACTAACATTTCTTCCAGGTTTCTCTTTACTAGATTTATGGTCCATTTTCCCTGCATTGATTTCAGGTCTGCCAGCTATAGACAAAAATTATTAATACTTCACAGGAAACATTAGTGTCATTACTTTGAAAAAGTGAATGAGATGTTTTGTAAGAGGGGGCTTGTCCTTTATTATACTCTTAGGCCTCTTTCTTTTGTTACATACATAACTGTGAAGTCGAACACTGTCAGTGTACCTAAACAAATTATACAGCAATTCAAAAACAGGCCACATAAACCACAGAAATTCAAAAAAAGAGAATTCGCCAAAGGAAGGTAGCATTCATACTTAGAAGACAAACTACTGAAGGCAATCATTTGAAGAGAAAGCCCATCACAATGAAATGCTATTTTGCCAGAGGGACACTGGCATTTAGAAGTCTGTCAGTAAGGTAAATGGAGGAAGAGAATGACAGAGAAAGGGGAAGTGGATACCACAATTCGGTATCATTTTAATGTAGAGAAATCTAAGTCTTATAATAATGACTGTATTTTCACAATTTTGAGTCATATGTTTATTGTTTACCTCACAATGCTGATGTCACTGGTATCAACTCCTATGCTCAGCAGGTAAGCCTATGACTTACGTCTATGACGAAAATCACGTAATTTAAATTTACATAATCCAAAATTTGTATTAACAACATTTTACTATATAGCCTTTCTGCACCAAATCATTCAACACCTTCCGATTTTCTGTGCACATCTGCACAGTTCACATTGCTTTCAGAATTCAGTATTTACCAATACACAAAGTGTCCAACACAAAGACATGTTGCTATGTATGCAGCTCTTCTTCTACAACTGTGGTTGTGGTGTTAGAAACTTGATTTGTACCCAGCAGTGATGCTGATGACAAGAGAACAGTGACCTGTTCAGGTGATGGGCAACCTGCCAGCAGGAGGTCATCTGACGTATAGCCACCTCCTGCAAGGAGCTGCTGAAGCTGCACAAAGCTTGCTACCACATTGTTCTGCAATTCAGAAATTACTGTGATGATCAGGTGTCCCCACATAAAATTTCAGATAGGACATCAAATGTTCTGAAGTACCTCATAATACAGTGGTAGGGCAGCTTTCAGTGGCATGATGTGAACTGCAACTGTTACAATTAAAAAGTCATAACAATGCAACATTTATATGTTCATTTTAAACTTACCACCACTCCTACCAATAAATCCTCAACTCCTGTGTCCAAACACCATACATACCTTCATGTTCCAGCCATTTTGCCCCAAGACACCCACTGGATAGAAGGCCGCAGTCAATTACTGAGTGAACTACCGTATACAGTACCAGCCCTTATGTTTACACTGAACTCTAAGCTCTCTTCCAATGAGTGTACAAGAAATATATATCAATATTTAAACAATCATTTTTAATAACATTATGGTTAGAGATGATGTGGTAATTCCATTTAAAAAAAAATAAACAATTATCATCATCATCATCAGTAATCTGTCAAGACGACAGGTCCACAGTCTCTTTCAAAACAATTCCTCCACTTAATGCGATCTAGAGCTTTCTCCTTCAAATGACAGTATCCTCTTCTGTCCCCAAGGTCATCCAGCATCTTCTTACGTCTTCTTCCTCGTCTTCTTGTCACTTCTATCCGCCCATCTATCTTTCCTTCGATAGCTTCTTTTAGAAGGCAGTTTCTGCGTAAAACATGACCAATCCAATTAGCCTTCCGTTTTCTTATTTCATGTAGGATATTCCTCTGCTCACTGACTCTAATTAACACTTCTTCATTTCTCACATAATCGGTCCAACTGATCTTCTCCATTCTTCTCCAACACCACATTTCGAAACTTTCCAGATGTTTCTGATCTACTGCCCTAAGTGTCCATGTTTCAGCCCCATACAGAGCTATGCTCCAAATGTAGCATTTCACTAGTTTCTTCCTCAAATTTAAGTCCAATTTGCTGGTAAAAAGATTCTTCTTCTTGCTAAATGCAGCTTTTGCCATGGCAATCCTGGATTTAATTTCACAAGTACACCTTCCATCATCTGTTAACAAGCTACCCAAATATTTAAAACATTTCACATTCTCCACTTGTTTTTGGTCTATCTTTATTGTGACTGGGGTTGGTTGTCTCGAAATTTTCATTACTTTTGTTTTCTCCACATTCATTTCCATGCCATAGCACCTTCCAATTTCAATTAGTCTATCAATCATGCCCTGTAGCACAGTTTCTTCCTTAGCCATTAACACAAGGTCATCTGCATATTTCACAGTTTGAATAATTTGCCCTCCTACTTTGAAGTCACCGAGCCCATCCAGAGCTTCCTTGGTAAGGCATTCGCTGTACAAGTTGAACAGAATTGGTGATAAACAGCATCCTTGTCGAACTCCTCTTCCAATCTGCACACTTCCTGTCTCCCCCCTGTCCAGTCGTACTCTAACTTTCTGATCCATGTACAATTTGCTAATCAATCTTCTTTCATGCCAATCGATACCTGTTTCTTTCAGGATCTGCATTAATTTGGTCCAGTTTACCCGGTCAAATGCCTTCTGCCAGTCTATGAAGCAAACACACAGTTCTTCATCTATCTCCAAAGTTCGTTCCGCTATAATTCTCATCATCCCAATTGCATCCCTGGTTCCTTTTCCTCTTCTAAATCCAAACTGATCTTCTCCAAGTACATCCTCTATTTTCCTTTCAATTCTTCTTTTAAGTATCTTTGCTATTATCTTTGCTGTATGTGCAATAAGACTTATTGTGCGATGGTCGCTGCATTTTGTAGCTTTTGTCTTTTTCTTTAAGGCAATCATTGTAACTTCTGTAAAGTCCTTGGGCCACTCTCCACTTTCATATATGGTGTTCATTAGTTTTGTCAGTGTTTTCAAACCACCTTCTCCCAGTAACTTGAGCACATCTCCAGGTACATCATCATCTCCTGTAGCCTTTCCCTTCCTCATTTCCTTGATAGCTTTTTCCACCTCACTTTGTAAAATATATGGTCCTTTCTCGTCTGTATCTACTTCTTCTTCCGGTTCAACTTCTAAGGTTTCTGGCCGATTAGGTCGATCATATAGTTCTGAAATATAATTTTCCCAAATTTTCAGCACTTGCCTCTGATCTACTATTCTATTCCCCTGGGAGTCTTCGATGCCAACATTTTGAATCCCATGATTCTCTTTCCATCCTAGTTCTTTTGTCTTCATGTACATCAAATCATAACGGCCTGTTCTTTGAAATTCCATAATCTCATTACATATCTTCTCAAGATATTCCTTTTTGGCCCTGTCCGTGGCTCTTTTCAATTCATTCCTCAGTCTCCTGTATTTCCTCCTGCCTTCTTCATTGTTGACATTCTTCCATTTCCTTCGCTCCTCCATTTTACTCATCATCTCCTGTGTAACCCATGGTTTTCTTGCTATCTTCTCAACTTTACCTACCAAATCACTGATAGTATCTAACATGCATTCTTTTATATCGTTCCACTGCGCTTCAGCATTTCCGCTTTCACCTTCAATTGCACCGAGTTTCTCTTCTAGAGTCTCTTGCACGCTTTGTCTTTGAGCATATAACTTCTCCAAATCCCATCTGGGTCTGCGCTTTCGAAATCCTATAATTTTCTTCAACCTGGTTCGGAACTTGGCAACCAGCAAGTTGTGGTCAGAGTCAATGTCTGCCCCAGGAAGCGTCTTCACATCCTTCACACTGTTTCTGAATCGATGTTTCACAAGGATGTAGTCCAGCTGATGCCTCTTCCAATCCCCAGGTGCCTTCCATGTGTAAATTCTTCTCTTTGGCTTCTTGAACCAAGTGTTGGTAACAATCAATCCATTTCGTTCACAAAAGTCAATAAGCATTTGACCTCTGTGATTCCGTCTTCCTAGTCCATGTGATCCAACAATATTCTGATATGGTTCATCTCCAACAATGCTGTTCCAGTCTCCCAATATGATGCTGTTTGTGTCTCCTCTTCCATCTTCCTGAAGAATTTCTTCAATTGTGTCATACACTTTTTCCACTTCATCATCTTCATACTCTGATGTTGGCATGTACACTTGTATAATCAGTATATCTACCGGTTCCGCCTTTAACTTCAGAGCAATAATTCTGTCATTACAAGCAATCTTCTTAACAACACTCCTCACTACACTTTTATGCACCACTATTGCCACACCTCTTTCAGCCCGTTCACCTCCGGAATAATACACTGTATAATCACCGCTTCTTATTTCACCTTGTCCTTTCCACCGCACTTCGCTGACACCTAGCACAGACACTTCATTCTTCTGCATTTCCGTTTTCAAATTCTCCAATTTTCCTGCTTGATTCAAGGTCCTGACATTCCATGTTCCAATCTTGTATCCATGCTGTTTCTTCTGATCTTCGCACTTTTTCTTGTTGTAACGCCTGCATGACATTTCCTCTAGAAACACTCCCCCCCGGAGATCCGATTGGGGGAGTAGTTTACCTCCGGATTGTTTTGCCTCCAGAGGAAACATCTCGCATATATGGTATCTCTGTTTTTGGAAAGAGACTATCCAGGAAAAGTGATAATGTGGTAGTTTTTCCATTTGCTTTCCACATCGCAGTACAACAGCCGTTCAAACCACTCTGGTCACGCCTGTTGCTATACGAACTTGAACCATCTCGAGCATCATTTGCTCTGTGCTTCAAGTCGCTGCTGATGACGCTGCTTCCGGCATCAGTTTTTGGTGTCTCTCTTCGTCTGATGCCTACCCTTTGACCTGTCCAGCAAGGGAGGCCCTGCCAGTAGCTACGCTACCGCTGGTATAGCTCTCAGGGTCCTTGGCATACTCAAACCCCCTCACCACGATAAGGTGGAGACACCAACACGCCTTGAAAATTCAAAGAAAAAACAGGATAATTTATCATAACCCAAACTTTAATCCACTTTCCAGCAGAAGCAGGAAACTTATTCCACTTTCAAAATGGCACTGGCTTTCACACAGCATTCTACACAACAGGAACTGGTGGTTCTAATTTCAGGGATGTAGTTGCCAGAGTGTGAAACTGACCACTTGCCTCCAACGTGATGTCTAGAATTCTTGGAGTTCTATGCCCAACTCCCTAGATGCCCTTTCTAAGACACAGAGACTACTTTACTTTCATCATAACTGAATCAGTGGAAGAAAAATGTCATAAGTATAAAAATAACTGGTTTCAATAAAGCAACTCTTCTGAGAGCACAGATCCACAAAAGAAATCCTCATTTAGGAAGAATAAAAAATTGGAAGACAACCATTCTATAAGACTACAGAATGACATGAGAACCAAGAAAAAAACAGATGATCCTTAATGACCCAACTTTGTGATGACACTGATGACAAAACAGACCTTGATAGGACGAAAGAGTATAAACTCAGTTTCTCGATTGGCTAGATAGAGCTGCATGCTGCGCTGGATGATTGGCAGTTGGTTCTTTATCAGGCGCTGGGTCTCTTGTACAATTTTTCCAATCACATCAGCATGGGCAAATGGCTGTTGAGCCAAAGTCACATTCCCTGCCACCTCAGTTTGCATGCTGACGAACACCTGGCCCTGCAAAACACAGTCTCTAAAATACTGTTGCAGTATACTCAACTGACTAACAAACTAACTAACTAAACAATATATAGCCTACTCTGAGCAGTTAATTGTAACTCATCTTATCAATAAACTCACTATTCACATGTGTTCACAAATGTCACTGGACTCACTCCCAAGCCAGCTGAATTCAGTCCACATTTTGGACTTTAATACTATCATTAAATTTTCATCTTCATAGTCCAAAATGGCATTTTCCCTTGTATGTAACTCCTGTTTACACAATACATATTACATAACCTATCTGTCTCATTATCAGCTTAATCACTCTGATAATTTTGGGAATAGAATACAATTACAAAGCTCCTGCACCCTCTTCATTCCAAATATTCTCTTTAGCACTATGTTCCTTCCTCAGAGTGAGACAAGTTTCTTATTCACATAAAACAAGTACATTTACAGTTTTATACACATAAATCTAGATTATCAGAGATCAGATTCAGAAGTGAATGGCAGAACATCTTACCCTATCAAGGAAAGTCAACAGGGGTCCAGCTAGAGTCTTGGTGGTATGCTGTATGAAAGCTTCACATGAAGCTTTTAACTGTTTGTCCACTTCCTTCCGGGAATCTACCAACTGTTCCCGCACAGTAGGTGTCCCTTCCAGAAGAAATTCTAACAGAGCATTGTTTGTGCCCAGAGAGAACAACCGTTTGCGTTTATGCAGGAGGCCAAATGCTGCAATAAGAAAATAATCCACAGTTTCACAGGACAGGTGAAGGGTAAAAGTTATTGACTTACACAGTGAAAACTCCATTTAAAATTTCTTTATGGGTTAGTGGGTGTGAACATTATATGGAGCAACTGTAAAATAACTGGACTGATTTTTTTGCTGACTCCATGGCCTTGGCAACAGTGAGTGGGGTGGACTGCCCTCTCCTCTCCATCAACCCAATGACTTCCAAGGCCACACAGCCAACAGTGTGGTAGCAGCCTTTGTTTGAAGCGGACCTTGCATCTGAGATCTGTCAGAATTATGTTAAGTGTTAAAGTAGAGCAACATGTCAATGTGCTTGGAAAATTTGCTACAGAAACATACAGTTTGTTGATGGAAGTTTATGGTGATGAATGTGTATCTTGTATTCAAGTTTCTGCGTGGTTTAAAAGATTTAAAGAGGGAAGGGGAGAGATCAAAGATGATCCGCATCCCGGTCGCACTTGCACGTCAAAAACAGATGCTAACACTGAAAAAGTTGGTGAAATTGTTCAAAAAAATCTTTGCATGAGCATTCAAGCAGTTGCTGAATTAGCTAACATTGATAAAGAAAATGTTCGACAGATTTTACATGAACATTTTAACATGAAAAAATGTGCTCAAAGATGGTGCCAGGAATCCTCACTCCTGAGCAAAAGGAAACTTGAATGAACATTTGTGTTGACATCCTTCAAAACACTGAAAATGATCCAAACTTTTTAGGAAATGTAATAACTTGTGATGAATCAAGGTTTTTTCAGTATTACCCGGAAAATAAGCGCCAATCTATGCACTGGAAGAGTCCCAGGTCACCAAGAAAAAGAAGAAGAAGAAGAAGCACAGAAGAGCAAGTCAAATTTCAAAGCAATGATGATTGTTTTTTTTTTCGATATCCGAGGGATTGTTCACATTGATTGGGTGCCTGAAGGACAAACCGTTAACCAGGTCTACTGTAAGGAGGTTTTGACAATCCTTCATGAATGGGTGAGAAGAAGGAGACTTGAAATGTGGAAGAAGGGCTCATGGACTCTTCACCATGACAACGTGCCAGCGCACAACACACTCTCTCTCAAGATGTTTCTGGCGAAGCACAAGCTCCCCACATTGAAACATCCAGCCTACTCACCTGACCTAGTCCGGTGTGACTTCCCCAAGATCAAGTCTGCATTAAAAGGAACCCGGTTCAAGTTCGTAAATGCAGTGAAGGTAAAGGCGACGGAGGTAATGAAGAAGCTATCAGAAAAGGACCTGCAGCATTGTTCACAACAAGAGAAAATTCACGTGGAGCTGTGTAGGGATTGGGGAGGGGACCACTTTGAAGGTGATCTGATTAGTTCAATAACAGATTTTAGAGCATCAGTCTGGTTATTTTATAGCTGCAACAGGTAAACTGAAGCAAATCTTAAAAACAGGTAACTCAACAATGATATTGATTTGGGTTCAATGAAATTGAATGTTAAATGAGAAAACCCTTAAATAAAGGAATATTGAATGGAGGTTCCACAGTAAGAGTAGGTTCCTTTCTAGTTTTTAATAACCATTTATCAAACAGCAGTATAATTCAGGTATCATGGTCTATATAAGCTTCTACCTAGAGAGCATGAGGAAAGATAAAAAACTTGCAGGCTCAACAGCTCAAACTGAGGTCCAAAACTGAACTAGGGACCTTCTGAATATAGAGTGGGAATCATAATTATTTGATTAGTCAGTCTGTGAGTACTGTATATCACCGCACACCTGCAGTCTTCACTTTGCTGAAGTCCAGGCTCATCTCTTTGATGGTAAAATCCACCTGAAAGGGAGCAATCTGCTCTCTGAGGATAAGCAAGTGTTTAATCTGGAACAACTCCCCATCAGTTGGACTCTGCAACACAGATACAGTAAATACAATTGCTTGGCTGAAATGTGTTTCATACAAGAGACAGCAGATAGATCACATCCTTCTGATCCAAGATATCAAAGGAATGGTGATAGAATTAGAAATGTCACTGTTAACACATTAATTCATTCATTCATTCATCTATTTTACATTCCATAGATCCACAGTACAACAGGTAGGATATGGAACACGGCAAGTGGTACATATATAAAAGACAAATAAGCCAAAAAATAGAATAAAATAAAATGATGACAGAAATATAAAAAGTTCTATTACTAACAGTTTTAAAACTTGGTGACAATAAACATAATTTATTAAACTATACATAAATTCTTTGGTATGTCATTGACTTGCAATAGCCTTAAATTGAAGATATTCATCAATGGAATAAAAATAATGTGTATAAGGAAAATGTTTTAGACAGGCTTCAAATTTCCTTGGATTATGAGATATATCTTTAACATGTGGAGGATGATTGTTAAATATCCTAATACCCATACAGTACACTCCCTTTTGGTAAACTGTAAAATTTACTGTAGGCAGATAAAAATTATTTGATTGTCTTGTATCTGTATTATGCTTTTCCGAATTTAAAATAGAGATCCTTGTTATTGACCACAAACAACATGAGTGAAAAAATAATATTGTGATGCAAGAGGCAAAATTTCCAACTTCCTAAACAAATTCATGCTCCTACAGCCCATCATAATTCTTATTATTCTTTTTTGCATTCTAAATATTTTAAAACTGAGGGGTGAATTTCCCCAGAACATTAAGCCATAGCTTATGATCGAATTAAAATATGAATAATAAATAATTGTCAGAACATTGAAAGACATATATGACTTAATACTCCTCATAATATAACATGACGAACTCAGTTTTGGGATAATACATTCAATATGACCTCTCCAGTTCAATGAATCATTTATATTTATGCCAAGGGTCTTAATATTAAACACAGTTGTTATTGGTTGACTGTTATAAATGATATTTACATCAATTGTGGATTTATTTTTAGTTTTAAAATGAATACAATGAGTTTTGTTAACATTTATTGAAAGTAAATGTGTTTTGAACCATTTATTTACGCAAGTGAAGGTGTTAGACATCTTATTTCGAAAGTCCCCTAAGCTAGAACCTTTGACTAATATGCTTGTATCATCAGCAAACAAAATAGCTATAGCATTACCGTCTACAATTTTGGGCCAATCATTAATATAAACAAAGAACAGCAAAGGGCCCAGAACTGATCCCTGGGGAGCACCATCAGTTATCTTTTCCCATGCAGAAAGATTTATTAATTTGATTCCTCATTAGAAACCTGACTTCTCTCATATCTGTTATTAAGATATGATTCAAACCATAACTTAGCTTTGCCATTAATACCATAAAATTGTAATTTAGAGATCAATATATCATGGTTTAAACAATCAAACGCTTTTTGAAGATCAAAAAAAAAATACCACCTACTAGAGATTTACTATTTAAAGGTTGCAGGGTTTCATTAACTAACTTATATATGGCTTTGTTTGTTGATGAATCTGCTCTAAACCCGAACTGTTCTTCTGCTAAAATACTGTGATTACACAAGTGCATCTGAAGTCGATTATACATGACTTTTTCAAAAACTTTAGAGAAGGAACTTAACATAGATATGGGTATACAGTTGGAAATACAAGATCTATCACCTTTCTTAAACGAAGGTTTAACTACTGCAAATTTCAGACGATCTGGAAAAATTTCTAAAGATATTGATTTATTACAAATATAAGTTAAAGGCTAACTGATAAAAGAAGAGCTTATTTTTAGTATCTTAGTAGATATTCCATCACACCCAGAGGAATTTTTGGGTTTAAAAGATTTTATTATATTTTCAACTTCTTTAGATGATGCAAATTTTAGTTTGATGTTTGGAAATGGAGTCTTAAAAGACTGCAATAAGTAATGAAAAGGAGTAATGTTATCTGGGTTATGAAAGCTAAGTTCGTCATATTTATTAATATTTTTAGCTACAGATGAAATATATTTATTAAACTCATTAGCTATCACTTGGTGGTTATTGACCAGAGTCCCTTCAATATTTAAAGTAATAATCTTATCTGTATTTCTTGCTTTGTTGGTTTCTGATTTAACTATATCCCAGATGGTTTTATTCTTGTTCAGGGATTTACTAATTTTGTCTGCATAATTAAGTTTCTTTGCTTCCTTGATGACAGCAGATAAAATTTTACAATATTTTTTATAGTAGTTTAAGAGATCTAGATTATTACTGTCCCTGCATGCTATGAAAAGTTCTCTTTTATGTTTATAAGAGGTTAGAATTCCTAAAGTAATCCAATTATTACTATTCTTTTTCCCAATACTGACTCTCTTTAATAAAACACAGCAGAAGAAAATTAAGGGAACATGTGGAAGGAAACCAGGCATTCAGCAGAGCCCTTCTTGAGAAGTTTGTAGTCACTTAGCCGGTCAAGAGATTTCCTGCCTTTTACAGCAGAAAACCCATCTAATGTTCCTCAATTTATAGTTTCCTTCATTTAACATTCAACTTCAAAGTTATCAAGTCAATTATCTACTTAAGAGTCCTTAATTTCCTCAGTTTTGGGTTCAAATCCACTACAAACCCAAGGAACATTAATGGCAATTTCACTGCATCATACCTGAAGATTATTAGCATGCTCATGAGAACCTGCCATGGATCCTATCTGGATGTAGGTGAATCCATACACATAGACTGGGTGTACAGAGGGGAATAACATCAGAACAGCTTAGACAAATATGTGGTTAAGATTTGAAATGGCTCAGGACAGGGTACAATATCAGGCTTTTGTGATGCATATAAACCGTCACAAGCAGGGAATGCCTTGACCAGCTGAGTGGCTATAAACCTCTCAAGAAGAGCCCTACTGCATGGTGCCAGTAAACCTACACCCACTTTCAGTCAGCAAGGTCTCTTCATTTTCTCAGCCCTGTACCAACCTTCTTGTTGCTAATGGCTTGAGCAGCAGAAGCCACACTCTGAATGCACATGGTCAGTGCCTCTTGTGAGAGCCCCTGGAAAATAGGCCTGTCCACACAGCGGTACAAGCGTGAAAGGCACACTAGTGTGCGTCGCACTGTGGGATACCACATTCCATGCAGGTCTGCTGGTGAATCTGCAAACAGCAGATAAATAAATAATCAGCAAAACAAATAAGTAACTATAGTAAGCAACTGGTTAATCAAGTTATCTATCATATGTGTATGAAGATTTCTTTGGTCCAATGACAGACTGCGGGAAAATTTTCATACTGTTCAACTGCTGTAAGTTACCATGTTGCAAACATGAAATTAATTCACACTTTAATGCTGCTCTATTTCTATCTTTTCCCACCTGTAATTCAAAATAAACTGTGTGACTTTCCCATGATACCACAGTTACCTATGCATCACACATTGGCTTGGTATAATATGTAAATATGGTATTGAAGAGTGGAGCAAATACTCAACCCTTCAAACAAGTAAATAAGTAACTGACTGCCTAACTGACCTCCTCAGCTAAGAGAAGCCAAAGGTTCAGCACTGCTGATACAAAAGTCCAGCACTATACTCCTATATGATTCTAAGTCGACTGATTTCTGCTTAGGAATTCTTACCACTTAAGCAATTCATGTGTTTTACAACCACATTTTAGTTAAAGGATGTTAATGAGCTTACAGTCTCAACTTCGACCCTCATATCTTCAGGTCATAATAAATAATTACAAGTTATTAAACCTAAATGGTAAAGTTGTATCTGTATTTCTGTATCATTTATAGGGACTGGGATCAAGTTTGGGTTTTGTACTTAAAATTTTGTTTATTAGGCCACCTATGAAATTTAAAAGTTAATGCGACCTGGTCACTCTGGTTAGTGACCCTTAGGCTGCGGGCTCGCCAAGGAAACTAGCAACCGCAACGCAACCTCAATTTCCGAAAATAATCGACGATTTCAAGCAGACAATTGCTTTCCAGATTAACAGGCGCACACTGAAGAAGCTTACATTTGATTAGTGGCGGACATCATGTTAAGTTGAACACATGTTACTTAATGGAGCAGGGCAAATTGAGGAATCGACGAGTACCAGACTGTACCAGTTTCTTTGGTATGCCCTGGTCTTATATTGTTTCGAAAGAACCTAACCTGAATCCAGACACCTTCGTCCCATGAAAAATCCTTTCGAAAGCCAAATGTAATTTGTCCTGCCTAGCACAGTTTGGGTAGCGTCTGTCATATATACTAGGCTCTTGCTCAATGAACTGCACAAAAATAAAATCAACAGCTTCGTCAACCTTTCGTACCATCAAAACAAATGAATCACCGAAGCGCGTTAGAGAACAGCTGACACTAGGAAACCACGCGGAAACGCAACTGTGAGAAGACTGGTATGCTCCGTTGCCTGGAAGTGTAGTTTCTCAGTCTTTCCGCGAATTGCGTTTCCGTTTCCTCAATTTGCGCTGCTCCATTCAGTAACCTGTGTTCAACTCAGGCCGATAACAATTCTCGGAAATTGCGGTTGTCAGTTGCCTTGGTGTGCCCTCACAGAGTGTTTAAAAAAAACATTGCAAATACTTCAGGGCGATCAACAAAAACTGAATGGCCGAACAAATTATAAAACTGACAGTGCCAACTGGTCAAGGTGCATATAAGTTTCATTATGGTTGTTGAAATTTTATTTGTGTTATATCACAACAAGCATATGACCCATCACGGAGGATGGACAAAATAATCTTTCTTCCTTTCCTTTACTCCTTTTGTGCCCTTATTTCCTATTTCCCCGCGATTTCTTTCCTATCGTTTCATTTATCCATACTATCCTAATTCCTCTCCTCCTTTCTTCCTCTTTCTGCTTCATACAAAATCAGTTCCCTCGCCACTACTCTTCCGTTCCTTTCCCCCTTCATCCCTTACATTTGCCCTTCTTATTGTCACTCCTTCCTTTCTTCTATTCCTTCATATTAAAACAGTTTCGCTTATGGGACGCATGGAACATTCCGCTCATAGCCCTGTCTAACTCATAGTTCATTATAGAACAATAAACCCATGGCTGAAAATCGGAACTTTTATTGAAATCTCCTATCAAGTTTCAAGACAATCTGTCCAGCGGTTTAGAGGATGATAATAGGCGACAGGCACAAACACGGATATAAACGTATATACACATATAGAGGGGTCCAAAAATGTATTCTCTTTGATAGTCAATATCTTAGGAACAAAATGACATGTAGTTACAATTCTTGAGGGGAGAGAGAGTCATTGTATATGTTCGAAATGACCACCATCAGCGGCTATGCCGCCGAACTGCTCAGCGAACTACGGCTGTCAGTGTGTCTGGTGTGATGGCTGCAAGCGACGCTTCGATGGTTTCTCGTAGCGCGTTCAGTGTACCTGGCTTTTGTCGATAAACTTCATCATTATATATATATAATGTATAACTTCCACACGAGGCCCTCCTCTTGCCTACTTTGGAAGAAAACTGTGAAACGAGCGAATTCCTCAGTAGAGGTAAATCTATCCCTGTAACAGGCCGCGAAGTCCATTGAGGGCAGGGGCCATAAGGTTGTGAGAGGCTTCCACATTTCCTCTAGACAGTCGGCTCACAGATGGCCCTTTACACCCCCCAAGAATATTCCTGGTACTCGTTTCTGTTAGAGGCTGAGTCGACCCGAGGGCCATAGTGCGGCTGGAAGGATTAGGTAAATTGAAAAAATCCACCTCTTCGGAACTCGAATCCGCGACCTTCCGGCTTGTAGCATAGTGCCTCAACCAACTACGCTACCGCGTGCCCCCACCCCTCAGTAGAGGTAATTTGGTTTTTATTCCGACTCATACTTTTAGGAATAGCTCCTAGACGTAGGTACTCTTGAGAAGCCTGTGACATATAGTCATATACAGAATGTGGGTTTATACATACGTAAACTTGATTCCGCGTAGCTTGTATCGAGCAAAATGTCTGGATTGCCCGTAGTCCGCCGAGGATTCGAAGCAGATACCTACTGAATACATGGCATGAACTGAATACCACTGAATATTATGTATTTCATGTGAAACATTAAGAAGACGAAGAATGAACGGCGGAGGAAGAGAAAGGAAGTAAAGAAACAAGATAGAATTATCGAAGTTCATTCGTCTCGGTCACTCCATCGAACAGTTAAAACAGTTGGTAAGTAAATGTGACACGAATTTCTTCATGGGAGATTTCCTTAAACCTGTTCTCACGTTGCAACTCCCTGCGACAATTCTGACTGCGTAGGATTTGCGCGTCTCGCAGCTCTGCTGCATGTTATTTGAAACGTATAGACTAGCGATAACCAACCCCACACCAGGCTCGCAACGCGAGAGGTTGGAGGGAGGCTTTGCACCAGCACTGGGGCTCGTTATTCGCTTGTTCTGCTTACTTCGCTGTCTCTTGGTTTGTTTCTATGCAAGAGACCGTCCAGTGGCGGATGTTCGTTAGCCAACACTATACACTGCCCCTTTCTAGTCTACTTTCCTTATTTTGAAGTAAATTAGGCATATGCTATCTCCATGCTGTCTGTGTATCCCCCGCCCCCATTAACTTCTGAATGGCTGAAACTTGGTGTGTGTATCATGGCATGTGAGCTCATTTCAACGGCGTACTTCATAAATCGTTCCCATCAGTCTGTGTGTCTGTATGTGTGTCCATCCTGTCGTGGGTAGTATATTTTTATTTAATTTATTTGTGATTTGATAAATGAAGCTACGGGTAACTCAGAATTTTTAGGGTCAAATGATCGAATTACATCGATTCGTGATTTGAAAAAAAGATTACAGGTGCCAGCAAACCGGCATTTTCATGGAGGGACTGAGGAAATCCAAGAAAATTTTAATTCAGGATAGGCAATGTTCCGGCCCAAATTCAAGCCGAGCACCTCCCGAATACAAATCAGAAGCGTTACCGACTGAGCCACCTTGCTCGAGTCCTCACTTCATCAACTAGGTCATCGCTAATAAAAGAAAGATTTACCCAATAAGGTATGTCGTATGGTCGTGGCCTACTTAAGGCGTTCGAGTCGAGCGCCTAAGGAACACCAGTCAATCAGCATAGCCGAGGCTAGACCTCGTGACCTCACGGATACGAAACAAGCCTGATAACCCCTACAGCCGGGCACAGTGAACAGAGACACCCTCTGTCCACAGCGAGGCTTGCACACCGCTAAACTTGCCAGTTATTAGGGGAAGCTCCGTCCGTCGACTAGAAAATAGAGATGTGTAGTTTGAACTTACATAAGAAGATAGTGGCAGGATTTGTTTTCTCATTTTCCTAAGTTCCTTGAGGCAGAATTAGGAGTAATAACTTAAAATGGGCCACACCCACTTCCACATGTTTCCAATTAGCCGGTCACAATCCCATCAACAATCTAACCTAGACAACGTACGCAGTTAGAATAGCGTCATTAAATAACTTTGACATGATTTATGACATCAAGTTCCCAGCAGGGAGCGAGGGGCGTGTGCTAATTATGACTTACTATCGGGATGTGGCAGCTGGACCCCAGATCGGGGCGCAGACTTTTATGTGCCCATTAGATTAGCGGCCCATTTGACACTGGCAAGTACCTGAAGCGAAGTACACAAAGAGATTAATTCATTATGGTAGGAGGGCCCAACATTTTAAAAACAATGCCTTTAAGAACGAGGTCAATATTTCTCCCATCCAACTTTAGATTTTCCAAGAACTTACTTTCCATTACATTTTCCCACAAAATGCTGTATCTCTAATCTCTACCATGCAAACTACATGCCTAGTCCATCATAATGTATAAAAACTAGACAACCCATAATATCCTTCAATGTTCTCATGCGTTAACTCTTCTTAGAACCACAAATTTTCCTGAACACGATGGTCTCAAACACTTGTAATTAATTCCTTCCCTTCAAGCAGAAGCCACGTTTTAAAGTTAGTGAAGTTAGGTTTTATATTTGCCAGTTGTTATCCTTTTCGAATATATGCGTGATTAAGAACACTTCGACTATGCGTTTATGATTTATTAAAAACCCAGAAAAACAACGCCGATCGCAGTGGCATGAACTGGCTTCGCCTGCTCGTGGTTTCGATTCCCACTCGAGGCATGGGGATGTTTCTCCACGTTTATTCTGTGTTTGTGTTGGCCTG